ACCCTTCTCTGTTATTCATCATTTTCTTGTGACCTTCTTCTTCTATATGACGTTATCAGTATGATTTTTTTTTTTCATCATATGTGATGAAAAACTACTTATCAGAAGGCTATTGAAATGACATCGTTCGTATTTAAGAAGCAAATTCAACGGCAAAAATTTTGACCGTGATATATAATACACAATGCCACTGTTGATGTAATCATGAAATGGAGACGTGCCTCAGAATTGAGATGAAAGTTTGTCTTTGTAGGAATTATGAAATCTGATGAAAAGCGAAAGAACATTTCAAAAACTACTTTCCCATCGTTATTCCTTTCACATTCACTTCCAATCAGAGTTGGAACCGGCTCGGTCCGGCCGGTTCAAAAACTTTCCAGACCGGTAAAAACCGGCAAAAAACCACCGATATGTTATATAACGTCCGATCGAAAAGTTTTTGGACAACATAATGAATGGTGAAACATATATATATAAGTCATTGGAAAAACTTTTTTTACTATTTACATAGCTTGTCCTGCTCTCTATCTGTCATATTAATTTGACATTTTTTCATTAATCTATTGTTGTCAAAATGATCGATCTTCGAAAACGTGTAGTTTCTATGCTTGGACGGCAAAATAATTTGAAAAAAAGTGTTATAGTAAAACATTTTGTGCAAGAAGGTTTCAAACGATCAACAATTTATAATATAATAAAACATTATGAAATTGATCTATCAATCGAAGACCGTCCAAGTGATGGTCGCCCAACACATTTTAATAAGAAAAACCTGAAGCGTCTGCCACATGCTACTGAGAATTGTGTTGGAGTTAATCAAAGACAGTTAGCAAGAAAATCGGTCTTAAATACGGATAATCGGATACTTTTTTAACAATATTGAAACTTCTGTTTCTCCTATTCAACAAATGTTTATTATGAAATATTTTATATAAAACACACACAACTTAAATCTAAAAACACCACATAGTCAAAGCACAGAAAATGGTTCTTTATCTTCAATTTTTCTTAATTTTGTTCGTATGGTCGTCATCATGTGTTGGACAATCTTGATATCAATTTGTTTTAATTTTTTACAAATTCTCCTTTTTCATTGTAATTCAGTTGTTGTCTCCCAGCCTCCTTCATACACTTTATCAGAAAGAGATCTTCCAAAAGTCTTCTATCGGCCGGGCTTGCAGAACATCTGTTTACTATATCACTTGTTTCAAATTATTTTGCCGTCCAAGCATAGAAACTACACGTTTTCGAAGATCGATCATTTTGACAACAATAGATTAATGAAAAAATGTCAAATTAATATGACAGATAGAGAGCAGGACAAGCTATATAAATAGTAAAAAAAGTTCTTCCAATGGCTTTTATATATATGTTTCACCATTCATTATGTTGTCCAAAAAACTTTTCGATCGGACGTTAGTTTACAGACGGTTAAAAGAAGAGGCTTCGAAAAACAACTGTTTTTGCACTTTTTTCTCATGTTTTTGTTAATCTTCAAGAAGAAATACGATACTATAGCCTTTTGTATGTGTGAATTTCCCCACAGATGAATACGCGATGTTTTCCTATGGTGAGAAAAAACACTTATCTACTGGACACTCGATTGTTAATCTGTACATCTTGAATTTTTCACTTAGGTTGTATACAGAGAGCTAATATTTCTGTTTATATGAAGATTCAACCTCAAACCTGATCTATAACAAAATATCAATGAAATAAGTTGAGAAGTTTATCTCAAGTGACACTGTTTTGGTCGTGCATACTTTCTAGAAAATGAAATAAAGGTTGATTAAAAAACTAGAATTTTTAGAGAAACTAGAGAAAATATAACTGATGATTTTCAAAAAAATACGATTATTTGAATTAAAGAATGTCGACATGCTCTGGACATATTTTATTAAAAAAAATTATATATCTGCAAAATTATAAAATTAATTTTTTGACTTAACTCTGAGGAGACCAGGGTGAGTTTAGAAATTTCTTCAAACCGGTGAAGACCTGCCGGTCCGATCGATTCAACCGGACCGGACCAGTTCCAATTTCGCTTCCAGTAGGTGAAACAGAGAAAAGCTATAGCAGAAGACATTCCAAAGCACATTCTCATATTTGTGAACGTGTCTTTTCTTGATTTTTGGCAATGTTTGTTCAACTTTATTCTGACTACATGACTCAAGGAAATTTTAAGATCTATTTTTTCTCGTTTAGAAAAGGCTACGATTTAAGCGATTACTAAATTAGATGAAGTAGTCAGTAAGATAAATGATTAGTATAAAGGCTGAATGATCAGCATTTAAATTATCAATCCTTCGCCACTTTTCTTTCTCTCATACTCTCAAAATCGATACTGGTTGGATTCTATGAATTCGAAATCCATGGAGAATCCGTGTTGCAACGAATTGTGAGAGTGACTGCCTATGCCTTTCACACAATAGTGCCTTGTGTTATCTGTATACTCACAGCTCTTCGGTTTCTTTTAGTATACACATCCTATATAGGAGAAACAATGATCACACATAACAGGCTAGAGAAAGATCAGTGGTCAGTGAAGAAGTTACGATACAAAGGGCAGTGAATGAAGAATAAGTGAAGCTTAGCACTTATTCATCGTTACACATACGATCTTAAACGATAAAGTGCTCCAAAATGTCCACATATGGTAATGTGCTCTGCATGAAATGACGCCGTGGAGCTGCATCAAGCCAGCGGCGGATCTAGGATTTTTTTGATAAGGGGCGATTCGATAGACATGGGGCGATTTTGATCAAAAAGCAAGTTTTGAAGTTTATTAGTAGTAGAATGCACTCTATTTTTAAGACTTTTCTGCTGGGAAAATCCAAAAATTTTTGTTTCGAATGGGGGCGATCGCCCCAAGCGCCCTCCCCCTAAATCCGCCACTGCATCAAGCATACCTTGTCGGACGCCGTTGATAACGCTCCACCCGCAGTTTCGCTTTGTAGAATTGGATTTTCATCAATTTCGAACTCATGGAATCCAGCCAGTATTGATTTCCTGAGTGAGCTTCTATTCTATGAGTGGAAGAGAGGAACGAGGGACTGATAATTGAAGTATTGATCATTTATATACTTTTTACTAATCATTTATCGTACTGATCACCTTCATCTATTTTCCTGATCATTCAAACTATTTTACTGACCAAATATTTTGTTCCCTGTAGAAAATATTTCAAGCTATCTCACAGATGTTCCGGGAAAGCTTCTAAAGCTACTGTAACTAAAACTCGATTCAGATACGCTTCGATTCTGATAGATTCAAATCGATAAGCATGAGTTACATTCTTGTTTATGTGGGCTTATGGAGCATCACTCTTAGATATTACATTTTGATTAGTGCCAAAGGTAAATATCAGTACAATTCCTGTGCGATGTCGAATACGACAAAGAAGCCAATACTCATCAATATGTACGAGAAAAAGAAAGAAATATATCTCTCAAATCCTATTTTTATTATATGATTCGGCACAGAAATTTCAAAGCTTTTCAATAATGACAATATTAAGCCTCATCGTGCCCCTTTAAATGATGGGGGAGTTTCATTTTGAGGCGAAATCATTTTCTTTAGAAAACCATTTATTTTGTTGCAAAATAAAAATATAGAGGACTTAGCGGTGTTCGCAACTTACCGGTATAAAGTAATAGGGGCATAGAGGTACCATAGCAGTATAAGGGTGTTAGTGGGATAGGGACAGTGGTAGCGCGAAGGGTCTAGGATTGGGGATCTGTAAGTGTCTCGCGAAGTTTTGACAAGTATGCACATCGAAAAATCACCTGACAACTACTAGGAGGAAATTTGACTTACAGACGTAGCTGAGGGATAAAAATTGTTTTCCGTTGTCTTCTCCATAAGCGGCTTTTTGAAGTGTCGTGCAGCGACAAAGTCTTTTTTTTTACTTGCGAAAAATAAATATTTTCTGACGACAAAATATCATTCTTAAAACTATCAATTCAACATTTGTTTCAGAAAAACAAACGGCCGAACGCGGCAGATTTTTGAAGTTGTGTTAAACAGAGAATTCTACAGAATGTATAATTTATTGAAATAAGAAGCCGGTTTCACAAGAGACAGAAAAGAAATTTTTTTATTTTGTATAATCAGCTGCCGAAGGCGACTATGCTTTCACCTATTATTTATCTTGAAATATGAACAACAACTTAAAAACCTATTTTGTTGAAAAGGAATCATCTAATCGAAAACTTACTGGTATAACCTAATTCGTGAAGCGAAAGTTTTTTAAGAATGTAACAAAATAAGGCCTGGAAAATTCTGTTTTAAGATATTCCAACGGTCTGTACTCCAGTGGTTAAAAAGCCAAAATTTTCAATCATTGGGAATCTACACCCCTCCGCCGCTTTCGCGGCTGCTGCATAGAGGTACAGAGGTATTGTTGTATTTTGGTATATGAGATATAAGGGTGCTAGTGGTATCTATATCGATAGAACTCTGATACCCATATACCGCAACACGTCTATATCACTAATGTTCCTTATAACCCTTATGCATACCTTATATACCACAATATCTCTATACAACTAACACTCTTATACCCTTTATACTCCTTATACCGCTGCCAGGGCTGGCCCGACGAGAGAGTTGTGGAGGCTGTGACAACCGCTCAATAATCGAAAGTTTTCGTTTTTTCCCAGTGGAGCCGACTATTTTTTTTCTTGAATTTTCTTAGAAAAACTTTTACTTTCATTACAAGAATTTGAAATAACCCCCTCCCCCCCCCCCAAAAAAAACTGCGGCAACTCTCCAAAATTGACTGCCTCAGGTCACCCGTGGCCGCTGTATTGCTGACGTTAGCTGTATTTCTATATCGGTGGTGAGTCTAATATAATTCATGTTCTTGTCGATATTTCTAATGAGGTTCTCTTTTTTCGATTTTGTTGCAAAATCAAATTCCCCATTAAATCCTCTTCTCCTCCCTCCAGTCATCACTTGTCACTTTTTTGGCAACTACCTCCCGCTCTTGATGACCTAATATGTATACAGCCCCATATAGAACTGGAAATCCATCATTAGATTTAATGCCTGTGGTTTTTTGCACAGCAAATACTCCTGATAGAAATGTAGGTTGCTATGCAGTACCAATACGTACAATAAAACCAACAGATACGAATTCATTAGGAATATTAAGCACAAATGCCGTTTATTGTGTAAATTCCGAATTTTCACCAAATGATTCCTATGAAAATCTATTAGAATGGGCAAAAGAAAATCTTGATTTCGAATATTATACGATGTTAAAAGCAACCAAAGTATGTGGCCCATTGGTTTCATATCGTCGTGTAATCGACGATCGAAAATATGTCGAATTACTAGGGAAAAAATGGCCTCAAAATTATATATTATTAGGTGATTCAATGTGTACATTTAATCCAGTATTTGGACAAGGTATGACACATGCATGCCGACAAGCAAGAGAATTGACAAAAATATTT